CCGGCCGCCCCGCGCTGCGCTCCAGCCCCGCCGCCCTCCACTGACCCCGTCCCGGGGCGCCGGCGGGGACCAGCCCCGCTCCGCTCCCGCTTCTCCCCCCGGAGCCGCGGCGGGAGCTCGGCGGCACCGCGGGCCCCCTCCGCGCCCTCCCCACCCCTCGACAGGAATTTTGATACGTGTTTGATACTCTTTCCCACTTTTTTCCCGCCTCTTTCCTTTTCTCCTTATAAGAGGAGCCACTCTCGTCCCGCTCCCTTTCCCGGTGTCCAGCGCCCAGTTCCCGGTACTCGATGCCTGTGCCCGGTGCCTCCTCCGCCCACGGGCACCGCTGCCGCCGGTCGCTGCACGAAGCCGGGCGGCTCCGGTCCCGCTTTTGGGGTCTCTGTGCCGGTGGCTCCCGTCCCTGCGCCGGGGAGCCGATTTTTGTAGTTTATTCCCCCCTCTACAGCCCACCCCGCCGGCCTCCGGCCCTTCACGGACACGCGGAATAAAGGTCTATTTTTCCAGCCCCGGCTCTGGGGCTCCCTCGGCGGCGGCTCTCAGCAGAGCCCGCCGGGACGCGGGAAGGGATGCGGGGCACCCAGGACGTCCGGCGGCGCCGGTCCCTGTGAACAGGAACCCCCTGTACACCGGGACCTGGGGCTGCACCAGGACCTGCCCCTTCCCCCTCCCGTGCGCCGGGATTCCCCATTCCCAGAGACCTCCAAGTTCTGGGATCCCCCAATGTACTTGGATCCCTCCCTTTGTACTGAGACTTCCCGTGCCCCGAGGCGCCCCTTGTCCCGGATCCCCTGGGATCCTCCGGGATCCCCCGGGATCCCAAAGCCAGAGGCTCCCCCGCCCCCTCGGGGCTCCCCGAAGTGCCGCAGACTACAACTCCCATCACCCCCTGCGGCGGAAGACGTGCCATGACGTCACGCAGCACCGCCACGTGAGGCGGTGCGGCCGGCGCGGGGGCGGAGCGCTGGTGGGGCGGGGCACCTTTGATTGGCACCCCTCACCGCCTGTGGTCTACCGGCGGCGAGCGGAAGGGGTGGGCGGATCCGGAAGCGGAACGGGTGAAAGGCGGAAGTGAAGGCCGGGGCCTGCGAGACTCCCGTGCGGCGGGGCGGAGCGGCG